CCACTCGTCAATTTGCCTTTGATTCTTGTTCTCTCTTTTTGTTCTCACCGTTAGTTCTATAGGCGGAGATTTTTCGGAGATCAGAAAAAGCAGAAACCCGTGTGGGCTTGAATGAAAAAATGATTCTTGTGGGTAGTTATTCAATGATCGTAATGAAGAGAGATGCTTTCAAACAATGATCATCAATCACCTTCTTATATATGAACTGGGTTCTGGTTTGAGATGAGCAGATGGCTTTCTGTGAGTTTTGGGTTTTCGAGCCAGATTCTTCAAAGCACTCACTCATTGATTGCCGGGTAGTGAATCGAGTTGTATCCTTCTTTGCCAGTGCACTTTGATCTAGAAAGCAATAAATACTCTCGAGCACCAGATTCGTCATCTGAAAGTATACCATGTGCCGATAATTTGATTTCTTAAAACCATAATTAATAGGATAACAAATTCTGTTGTTAATTAAAAGGATAACAAATTGTCTTTCCATAAGATTTATCTTTCTATTTATTTATTTCTTTCAAGAAGAAAAATTCAACCTTCAATCCCATCCAGAAGCTAGAGGTCGCATGAGAATAAAGTTTCGCTGAAATAATTACGATTTTTTTTTGTCGAAAACCACAACGCATCTGTGCGCTTGTTCGTCCGGCTTAGAAGTTGTGAAAAGCCAATTTTCACAACGTTGCAGTCAATCTAAAGAAATACTAATCAGAATTAAAGTAAACTACAAACCGAATAGAATAGAATATAAGAGCTAATGAGAAAATTGCTAAAAGAATAATAACCAAAATACTTTTTGAATTACAATTTGCCATTGTGAAATAAGCGGACCTTTAAAACTAAATTAAATTAAAATTATTTGGAAGAAAGATTAAAGTATCTAGGAAGAAATTAAATAAGCTAATGTTTTGTATGCCTTTATAGGCGAAACTGCCAAAAAGGAGGCAAAATTTTGAGTGGGGGATGGGGCAAGCCAGTTTCGCCCTCTTGAAAAATTGCTTAAATGATTTTGTATGTTTTTATGACGAAAAATAGGTAAAATAATGAGATGAAGAAAGGAGCGTTCAGCTAGTATCACCAGAATGAAAAAATGTTTAAAAAAGGTGTAAGCTTTAGCGTCGAAAATTTCTCAAAATGCACTCTCATAGGGGGTGGGACAAATGCGACCTTTTTTTGCGCACCTGGACATTTGCGCACCTTTTTTTTGCTGGAAAAGGCCTTAGGAAAGGTCGTAGAGCTTCAAAAATGTTTTCATACAAGGGAATCGTATGCGTAGATTCCGAATTTCGACAAATCACACCTCGCTGACACGTCAAATTTGGGCTAAAAGGCAAAAGCTGCGGAAAAGCGTTAAGTTGCGTAGTTTTTGCCTTTTAAAAAAGTTTAAGAAAATTCAGACGAGCCATTATCTTATATTTCGCGTGCTCTTGAATTAGCCAATCTTACATTTTTTCTATTTCTGCCACCCGTTCTCTTCTCTCGTGCAAAAACCACACTGTCCCTCCATAAAGCGCCTAGTTATATGCCTGTCTTGTATTCGAATTCTTTTCTTCCAAAAATTATCCTGTAAAACCGTTCTTTTTGTTTACGAGGACTCCTTCCCGCCTTAATCTTGCTCTTCATAACATTTTATCTACTTAAACTCGTTTTTAATTTGGTTTTCAGAGAATGTCTGTTCAACCAGTCAACCCAAAGCCGTTCCTCAACGGACTCGCCGCAGAGCCAGTTGTGTGCAGATTCAAGTCGGGAATCGAATATCAAGGCGTCCTTATCTCGGTCGACGGTTACATGAATGTCCAGGTGGGGTTGTCTTTGTGTACAGTTTTTATGGCATAGCTTAAAGCTAGTTTGGAGAGGTACGTTCTGAATTTTGTTAGTTTTGATGTCGCTTGTGAACCGTCAGATATATGACGAGTAAGCTTGCTTAGGCCTAGGCATTCACAAATAAAATTTTCATCTTTTAGATGGCTAACGCGAAGGAATAGATTGATGGAACAAACACTGGAGCTTGGGGAGAAATGTTAATAAGGTGATTAGTGTGACTTTTGTCTAATTTGTTTAAATCTGGATGCAACAACATCCTCTACATCGGAGGCGCCGAAGACTCGGACGTTTGATCGCCTAGTTTTCATTATTTATCATTTTGCTGACTTGTTGAGTGTGTAACGTTATGAGTGTGTATCTCTTCCGTATATTTATGAATAAAGGTTAATTTGTTCAGTTAATGGGACCGTAGCCGTGGGGACCATGAACGTTCACCAGAAAGCCGCAGAGGTGGCGACCGTTCACCGAAAAGGCGAAGACGGTTAGTCTTAAAAAATGGCTTTGTTTACAGCTGATTGAGGTCACCATCTCCTAAACGTAAAGCTTCTCCAGAAAGACGAAGACGATAATAGAGCTTTGCACCTTTTTTTGATGAAAATTATTTAGATCTCTATCACCAAGGCGTGATGACAGTCCTGAGCGGCGGAAACGTTTAGTTTAACCTGGGTTGCATTCAGTATTAGTAATTTAGGTCGCTAACACCAAAACGTGCTCGACTCGAAAAGGCAAAAAAAGGAAGCTCTTCAAAAAGTATACAAGAAAACTTTGTTGAAGTAAATACATTTTAGGAAAAGAAAGAGCCTTTTGATTTATTGCGTTCTCGCACTGGAGGCGCATACATCCCACCAGCGAAGCTGAAGTTGATGCAAGAACAAATCCAGGTAATGCATCAAATGATAACGTGACCACAGAAAAAATTTAGGACAAATCGGGTGAGCAATTTCGACGATTGAATTGGGAGCGTCTGAGGAAAAAGATCCACGGTCTCGTCAATAAAGTCAACGCCAGCAATCTTGTCGGAATTGTGCGAGAGCTTCTTCAAGAAAACATTATCCGTGGAAAGTTTGATTTCAGCATTTTCTCAAGTAAACGAAATTTTAGGGGTTTGCTGACTCGATCGATAATTCAAGCACAAGCCTTTTCTCCAACATTTTCACATGTATACGCTGGTTTGGTTGGAGTGATTAATTCCAAGTTTCTTGTTATTGGTGAATTGACACACTTAAGTATGTTTCACAGTTTTAGGCTTTAGGAATTATGTATTTAGGCGTTTGATTGTGCGGTTCAAGCGATCTTCTCGTCGAAACTACAAAGCAACAACGGTGACTTTCAGTAGATTTCTCGCACATTGGATCAATCAACAAATGGTATGCTGTTTTTCTTTGAATATGAATTCGATGCATATTTAGGCTCACGAGTTGCTTCCTCTTGAGATCATTCTTTTGATGCTTAAAACACCAACGGAAGATTGTGTGTATTGCTTTTCTGAAAGAATGTGGCGCGAAACTGACAGAGGTTTGCTTTATTTAGGAGCGCTTATTGAGGAATGATTTGTTAGATTGCCCCGCGTTCCTTGGACAATGTTTTCTCAAGACTTCGAAACATTCTTGCTGAAGCATAATTGGATTCACGTATCCGTTATATGATTGAAACTGCAATCGCAATCGGAGAGATAAATTTGCGGTCAGTTTTTAGTTCTATTGCCTGGCAAAGTTTATTCTTTAAGGACTACCCGACTTTAATTGATAAACTCGATCTTATTTCGGGAGGGGACCAAATTGCACATACACTTTCCCTTGAAGATGCTATCGATCCTGAAAATATGCTTAGTGGGTGAACTAAAAAATTTAATTGTCGATCAACTTGGCTTTCAAACAAACTTTACAGACATTTTCAAATTGGATCCCGATTTTGAGAAAAATGATGCTGCCTGCGACGAGATCCGTGAACAAATCATTGGTGACGCCGGTGAAAGTGAAGAGGAATCAGAAGAAGGGGACGAAAAGGAAGAAGGTGACGAGGAGGCAGCTGCAAACGGTAGACATTCAATTTTGTCGATTTAAATTTTATAATATTACGATATTGATATTACGAAACTGAGGAATATGCGTCGTTGAATCAGTCATTTGCATTTCACAGATGCCATTACTTGAGATGTAAGTCTTTATGCGAAGATTAACTTTTTCGTATCCAGATTTAAAGTGTTCAAATTTTGGTTTTGAGCGAGATCCATTTGAACGAGAATGAGACAACTTCTTCGGGCAGGATTTACATGAAAATCATTTTCCTTGAATCGGCTCAAATGATGGGACTTCCAAAGCTGTATGAAAGAATCTGTGATCCGTAAGTTTAGAGATTTTCTAGAATTCATTAATCTTTAGTACAGTCATGGACAAAAGTCTTTTAACATTGGTTTTTAGAAGTGTGTTCTTTGTAAATCTTGGTCCAAATCCGAGCAATTTGCAAACGGTTAAAAGATTTAAAGAGCTTATTATCTCTTAAAGATGGATTTAACAATTTATCAGGTGTCATGAACTTTTTAATAAAACAAAAATTGGGCCAAAAATTGATGGCCTGATTGAATTGATTTTTTTTAATTTTCTTGGAAATGGAAAAGTTCTTGGAGCAGAGGAAACCCACCGATCTCAACACAAATGTTTGTTTCTCCAAAAATGGGACAGAATCTGTTGCGAAAGTTCTGGGGGAATCGATGGAAATCATTTGATAATCTCTTTCGAGGAGCACAACAAATACGGACGATTGGAGAATCAATTCCTGTTCTCAACGAACACCATTACGGATCATCTTTCCAAAAAAAATCGTCACATTGAGCCCTTTCAAACCGAAGTTCCCTGTCATTTGTAAATCGTTATTTACTCAATTCAATTTACTGTACGGCAGATGTGAGCCAACTGTTGCATTCCCATTCCCCATTCCCCTCCTTTCTCTTTATTTTCCGTGGTAAGAAATCCCTATTTTGCTTGATAAAAAATTTTTTGTTTGATTTTGTCTTTTCTCATCAATTATGCCTCTTTAGTAGCTGTTTCCTTTAATTTTCACTTGCTCTTCGACAAAATTCAGTCATTCTGTAGGCATCCAATCGTCTAGCAACCGAAATGGACAATCTCTCGAATCTTCCTTCTCGATGTCTTCAGAACATCTCTTCTTTTTCCAAATCTCCAGAAATGCCCGAAATGACTGAAGAATTGCCTGAAAAGAGTGTCAAACGCATAGAAGAATCGGCCATCTCGTTGAAGAAAATCGCCCAACTCGAAGCCGATTTGTGGGTTTTTCGCCAAATCTTTGCTTCTATCAAAAACAGTCTTTAATTTAATCGAAGAGTTTAGGGAAGAAATGAAAAAGGACAAAGACATCGAGATGAGTCGATGGACAGCAAAAATCGCTCAAATCGAGGCGAAGTTGGAGGCCGATTTCGTTGACGAAAGGGAGAGAAATCGAGAATTGGAAAGGAAAATCGCCGAGGCAAAAAGGAAGAACGACGATCTCGAGGCACAATTGTACTAATTTTGTAACTTTCTTTGCTGACAAGCTCAATATATGGTTTAGATGCGAACTTTTTTCAGAAGAACTCGAAATACGGAAGTGAGGGAAGGAAAGACCAAGATTGGAGAGCTCGACGGGAAAATCAACGCGTTGCAGAGCAAAATCTCTGGCTTTGAGACCCAAATGTGAGTTTATTTGGTACCTCTTGTCGACTGAGACTTGAGAAAACAGTTTCTTCACTACCAAAACACCCATTCCACTCAATCCAATCAGCTCCTCTCTAGACAATTTGAAAGGGAAAAAAAACGGCCGAAATCATGAAGTTGCGGGCAGATTTACGCATTTTTTTTAAGGAAAAGGATTTAGTATTTGTTCAAAAAATCTGGCTTATCTTTTTCAGTGAATGTGAACAAAAGGAAAGAAGTGATGAATTCACAAAGATCAACTCAAAAATTTCGCAAAGTGATGATCGATCGACGAAGATTGGTGCTGATTTGAAAGAGATGTGAGTCTTGAGATCCCTTAAAGAAATATCTGAGAATGAAACACTTCTAGAGATTCCGAAGTCGCCGAAATGTCAAGGAAAATGGCGAAGTTGGAGACTGATTTGGTTGACGAAAGGGAGAGAAATCGAGAATTGGAAAGGAAAATCGCCGAGACGAAAAGGAAGAACGACGATCTCGAGGCACAATTGTACTAATTTTGTAACTTTCTTTTCTGACAGGCTCAACAGAAAATATAAATAAAAATCGATTTGTTTCTAGAAAAACTCAAAATTCCAAGATTTTAGAGATTCCCAAGTCGCCGAAATGTCAAGGACCATCTCCGCGAGAATGGCTCAAAACACGACAGATTTAATGGAGAAAATCACGAAGTTGGAGGCTGATTTGTGGGTTCAACAATATTAGAATCTAACTATTTCCTGTAGACTGAGACTTGAGAAAACAGTTTTTTTGACTCTCAAAACACCCATTCCACTCAATCCAATCAATTCCTCTCTAGACGATTTGAAAGGATCAAAACAGTCGAAATCGCGAAGTTGCAGGCAGATTTGTGAGTTTTTTAAGTAACGATTGAGTCTTGGTCTAAAAAATCTGGAGTAAAGTTTTTCGAAGAAACTCAGAAATCGACCGATGACTTTCTCGGATCTGGATGGATGGTCATATTTGGCAAAAACCGCTTCTTGGTACAAGGTTTGGTGGATGTTGTGAACCAGGATTATCTTCATCTCAAGGCTTTCGATCAAGAAATGACATTCGATGAAGCCGAGGCATATTGTACGAGTCGAAAGATCCATTTAGTCTCAATTCACAGTCAGGAAGAGAACGATTTTGTTCAGGAACTCGGTAAGAAATCGAAATGATTCAATTCTGAAAATTCAGGGTTTTTGTAGAAATTTATGCTTTATAAACCAAAAACAACCGATATTTATTTCAGCGGAAACTGTTCGTTCGGATTCTTTGTTCTGGATCGGACTGAAGGTAGAATTTTTCTTGTTGAAAGAAATTAATAAATAGAAAGTGATGATTCTTTCATCCCTTTTCGGTAGACTCTTTGTGAAAAAATGATTCGTTTGACTGATAGTTCTTTGATAGAAATAATGGTTTCAATTGAGAAATTAGAGGAATTTCAATAATAAGAAAGGAATATCGGATCGAAATATCAATGTCTAAGCATAAAAATTTAAAAAATCAAAGATCAACGGTGAAACAGAAAAATTTCTTTATTCAGGGAAATCCGAACAAAGGAAATGCTTTTGAATGGACGGATGGAAGTTCGGTGGTTTTCAGGAATTGGCATCTTGGACAACCGGATTCGTACGCCCACGCTTTGGTGAGATTTTCAGGGTGAAATCATCGACATTTATTCCAGTTGCCAATGTATCATTAATCGCAAAGATTTTGCTCAATCTTAGGAGTTTTTTGTGTAAAATAACGCAAAGTGTTTTATCAAAAGATTTCCATCAGAAATGAACACATTTCAGCTTGATAGCTACGATGGGGAATGGTGGTCCGCTTCTCTTACCTCTCAGTGGCGTTTCATCTGCAAAACCAGCTCTCAATTCTGATGAATGTTTTGTGTTCTTTTCTTTGGACAAAAACCAATAAATCCCATTTTATTCAATCTTCTGAAAACACACAATTGCACATTATCTTTTTCTTTATTTCTTCAAAATTCAAAAAAGTTCAAAATCTCATATAAAGTTTTCCCAAAAACCCGGAATTCCGCCTGAAGCTGAGAGTATTTTGCTCTCTTGTCGCTTCTGAATAGACTATTAGATAAACGCGTTGAACATCAATGGACATCAGCATGAGGAAACTGACAATTCTTCGTGAAGGTCGCTCTTCTCGTCCCTCAACTTGTCGATTTGATTCACAATGCGATTTCTCATCCTGTTCCGAGGCGTTGATGAACCGGTAAGTTTTGAAAGTTTATTGTAAAGCCATGGAAATCCCGGCCTTAAGAAGCCGTGTAGCTCTGAGTTAACCACCAAATTCGTTAGACGTTTTTCGGACTGTTTTTTGTGTTAATTAATCTTTTTTATTGCTTTTATTCAATTTAATAATATTAATCGCATTAGAAAGCTTCCAAATCCCCACATAAATTCTTTATTTTTGCTTTTCAATAATATTGCGGCTTTAAGCCTTGATGTTAAACAGTTTTTTAACGGTCCAGGCAACGATTATTGCTTTCGTTGTTTCCATTCAATTCCCCAAAGCATCTTACAATTAGTTTTGGCCTTCATTGTGGTCCGGCTACGAAAAGTCCTCCACTCGGCTCTCAAATGGAAATAGATTTCTTTCGCATTTCAAATAGAAACACAAAATCTATCGCGTAAAACAATAATTTCAATTAATCTGACAAAAAAAAAATGAAAAAATGATTGGAAAAAAATGAAAAAGAAACGACAACACGACGCTCCCATCGACTACCTCAAATGGCGGCGACGTCAATTGGAATGCGAAGTCGCGCGAAAATTAACATTTAAAATTTGCGACAGGAATTAAAATTTAACCTGACAACGTCTCGAAATCATTCTCTAGACTAGTTTAGTAGATTCTCTACTAAAATTGAAGATTGATTCAAAAGTATAACTTGCTAGATCTTACCGAAAATGATAAAAACACTAAAAAAGGTTAATTAACCCAAAAGAACAGTCCGAGAAACGTCTAACGGATTTGGTAGTTAGCCCAGTTGAAAGATCTGGGAATTCAGTTCTTTGAACAGTTTGAAAAAGCTTAAGAGAATAGAGAACAGTTTGACAAAACAGAATTCCGATTTTCAGCCAAAAAGCGATCTTGATGATGAACGGGATTTGATAGGAACAGATCTGATTGCAGACAAGATGGACAATCAGAATATTGATCCATTTTGATTCATGAATTATTTGATGTTTTTTCAGACTTTGATTCGTTAGCGTCACTCTCTCCACTTTCACTGATTTCTCCTTTGGTTTTTGAAAGGATAAAGCAGTTGTAAGACTGAAAATATTGTAAGGAAATTTACCTTGCAGCAAAACTGAATATCCTGAAAGTTTGCACTAATAACGGGAAAAGAGCTCGCAGATTATCATTGAAAAGAAAAGAGATAGAAAATATCGAGTCGAATCGTTTGGGCAAGTGTAAGGGCTGAGTTGTCTAACAACTAAAAATCCGAGAGTTTGTTTTTTTGATTGAAGAATTCACCTGATCAAGAGTCGTTCGCTTCTTGGCGCCTTATTTTTCCTCTTTTGGCTTAGCTGAAAGAACTTTGTTTGAAATCCAATCAACTCAACCGGCTTCAAATCCAAGTTTTTTGAATAGATCTTTCAGTTTTTGAATGTTAAACCGTTTTAAACTGACAATTGCCTTGTAATGTCCGTCTGTTTTAAAAAGATTTATTCAAAATTTTTCTAAAAATGCCTTTTCTTTGGCCAAACGACTATTTGACGGTTTTTTGCAAACGAAACGAGCAAAGCTTTGTCCAACATTTGTATAAGACCAGGTCCGATAATTACATGATGGATCATTTGAAATCTAAAATAGATAATCTAATAAAATGCAGTCAATCAATAACAGTCGTTTGCAATTATTGTTGAAAATCACACTTACAACATAGTAATACATATCGCTATAAGGTGAACCAAATGTAAAGTCAGCACGAGATCCATCAGTCCAAGTTCCAACACTAACTATTCCATTCCCATCATAGCCGATCCAAGCCCATTGCCAACTACATGGACGATTGTCAGGAGTTGTGATCGGTATTTGCATTACGTTTGCATATACAAGATCTAAAGATAACTTCAAAGTTTGTGTTAATTGTATGAGGATTCTACAGGGTGGCCGACGAAATTTGACGCAAGGTTTTTGCCTCGTAGATGATGCCGGGTTTATCAAAACCTATTGAACGAATATCCAAAGATGTAGCAAATTTCTTTGAGTTTCTGGAACTTATAACTATTTTACAAGAATTCTCCTAGTTCTTGAGTTAGGCCCTTTTCAGCGCCTTTCAAAAAAAGCCTTGGAATCTCATAGAAAAATAGGAAAAAGTCTTTTACACACCATTTTCATCACCACTCCATAAAAAACGGCAAAAATCGAGGGTCTGTAACAGACTCAAGATGCACTTTTAAGTCAAGTGTTTGGTTTCAAAAAATTAGTTACATAATTTTGACTAAATTTTATTTCAGATATTTTAGCTAATAATGCATTTTGCAAAAGATATTTAACCTCAAACTTTAAAAAAAACAAGCAGCGGCGCCTTTTTTGGAGGGCGCGGAAAAGGGCATAACTCAAGAGCTAGGAGAACTCTTGTAAAATAGTTATAAGTTCCAGAAACTACAAAAAATTTGCTACATCTTTGGATCTGAGTTCAATAGGTTTTGATAAACCCGGCATCATCTACGAGGCAAGAACCTCTGGCCAAATTTCGTCGGCCACCCCGTAGATTGTTTAGGAAAAGGAAAATTGCAAACTCGGTTTTGTGATTTTTTTGCTGCAAGTTTTATTGGGGTTTATGTACGATTGAATTTTCCAGGAATTACCTATGCAACTGCCGTCTTATGTATCATTTGACGGTGTGACATTTGCAGCTCTGATTATCTTTGCATTATTCTTACCGATCGCGTACGTTCTCTTCAAAAATTACGTCCCTATTTGCATGTAATTTGCGTCGCTTTTTTGTCTTATTCTCTCCGCTCAAATTTGTTTTTTTTTTAGTTTTTCGAAGGAACTTGTTTTTGTGGCTTTTCGCCCTCTTGGATTTGGAGTTTTGCCCTCGTTCTTTCGGGATTTAATGCTTTAATAAAAAGACGCCCACTTTGTTTTTGTAATGTGTAATGTTCCTTTTTCTGTCTTTCTGTACTAATAAACCGTAAAATTATAAATCCGATTCACTTTAAGTAGTTTAAAGTAAATTGTAAATTGGATTTATAATTTTTTCTTCTTAAGCTTCTAAATTCTGTTTGGATAGCTGGTCTAACATTAGAGCAAGAATTTGCTAATATTTGTGTTGCCATCGACGAAACGTTATGCGTTGAGTACTCGTATCATGAGCGTTAGCCTTATGCTGGATGTTGCGTGTTCTTATTGTTGTGAGTGCTTTGGGAAAACCCGTTTAACCTTTTGTACTACTCGGCTATTCTGAAACAAAATCATCCCCGAAGATTAAAGTGGGTCACACCCCGAACTTACCAAACACAAAATTGTTTTCGTTTCCTGAATGAATCGAGACCAAATGGGAATCCATTCTTCTGCAATTAGCCTCAGCTGCTGTGAAATTGTATAGTTGCCAATAAACGCCATCAGCGTAGGTGAAATTCTAGAACTAACACTGGTGATTCAAAAGAAGGATACCTGCAAGAAATAGCAATAATCAGTTTGTTCGTTATATAGCCAGCCATCAGGACATTGAAAATCTGGAAGGCAGTATGGATACGATTTCGTTTCATTTGGCTTACCATCTCCATTGATTGAACAGAAAAATGGACGAGCAAATGAACATTCAGCTGCCAGCCAAGATCCACTTTGAGGATCCATTATTGTGCAAAGACTTGTATTGCTCGAGTTATTTGGTTCATCTAAACGATAACTAGTTAAACTTGATTAACATCTATCTACAGAATCAATCAAAATTTTCAAATAAACTCACTGAGAGCCCAATTCTGATAAGTGAGCGGTGATCCATCCGCGTAAACCCAAACGTTATTCATTTTCCTTTCGACTCCAATATACGGTGATAGATTGTTCAACGCTTAAAATATTGAAATTTATGTTAATTTATCGGATTACCTTGCTTAGTCATTGCTGATACATAAGTGTTTTCAAAAATGTTCTGAATTTTCACTGGAACTCCGCCAAGAGATCGACAAAAGAGACTGGCATCAAGGTAGAATTTGGCTGAATTGGGCATTTTTTTTCTAGTTTTTGACTGATTTTTGATTCAAAGCTTGTCTCTAATGGATTCAGTTGCTATTTTAACCGTTTTTGATTTAATTTTACGCCGTTTCCTTTCCAAAGCTTACTTTGATCAACCACAAACATGCACACATCTTCATTCGGTATTTCAATACTTCCTTCTGGACAATGATAGGCATCCACGAAGCAAAAGAAACCAAAAATAAAGTAAAGCAATGGATACATTGCTGACTTTTTGGTGAAAGAGTCGGGGATTGTCTAAGATTTTAAGATTTTTTTAGGATAAAACTAATGGGTATGAAAAGGCAAGAAAAACAACGTGACTTCTCGAGCGCTTATCAACTTTACGTTTTTGTCACACAAATCTAATTCAAATGTGATTTTTATTTTGGCTTTTATCAAGTCAACAAGCTTTGGCAAGGATTTATTTAGTAAAGTCGAGTCTAAGCCTTCAATTTATTCCAAAAATAATCTTTGTTTGTCGGTTTTCAATTTTTATCACGTTTCTTTTGCTTTGATTGTGGATTCATACCATTGTCCAGTAATTCTTTGATGGCATTTTACAGACAAATCGAGGACACTCGTTAACCGTTCCACATCCGCAAGCCCATCGGCGAGTACAGCTATCATTCGCAATTTAAATTCTTAAATTGATTACACAAACTTT